GAAGCCAGTATTGTCAGAATCCCATTTTAAATTAATATATTTTAGTAAGCTGCAACAGAAGGTTTAGGAACATCATTTTTAGAAGATGATAGATACCAACAGATAAAAGACTGTTTGAAAAACGTTTATGCTTAGAGTATAATGACTACTGCACATACCCTTTTAAACTTTTATGCTCTAGTCAATGTATTATAATTGAGCTCTACTGAATTACTTTTCTAGTGGATAAATACTGTACACGCTGTAGTGTGAAGAGACATCATGTAATGTATACTAATTAAGCCATTATATCTGTGGAGAAGATCGTATCTGAAATATCAAATTAGCAGAAATTAAACATCTCAAAGGATTAATGAAATGTTATGGAGCCATTCACTTCCAGGTCAACAAGTTCAATTTCAGCTTAGTTTAATAGTTATAATGAATTTATGTGCTGGAGATAACAATTCTCTGCATCCATTCATAAATCAGGGGAAGAGCCCCTGGCTGGTACCAAGAACAGCAGCCTCTAACCACCACAGCCAACACAAGGTGGCCAGGAATGCTATGCTTGGCCTATATTTGGCTGTAGCCTTAGGGTCCATGAGATCAAACAGCATTTACTGGATGCTGGCAATGTGTGCAGGCAGCAGTGAGGGACACCAGAGACACTCAGTCAGTTCTCTTTACAGATCTGCCAACAATTGCCAACCCCAGCAGTAAAGTTATCACAGGCAACTCCATCTTTTGTTTGGCTTATTTAAGAGGTCGTTTTGCTTATCCCGATTCCTCTCTCAGCAGCCCTTGCTACTTCCAGCAGACACCTACAGTTCAAGAAAAAGATGTGATGGGGGCATGGGAAAGGAGCAATCATAGCCGACTTTTATGCAGCGTTATCTTACAGTCAACGTGACAGTAAATACACAACAAACCCTGTTTTTGTGGTGGAACCACAGATTTGAGAATAAATTCTTTTGAGGTCAAATAACCACCATGACAACAGATTGAGGCATCAGCTCCTTAGTGGTGATGGCCAATAAACAAACAACAACCAGTTTACGAATAAGAGGAAGTAGTTAAGAAATAACCGCATCAACAAAACCAAGTAACTGTATCTTAGTCAAATATGCATAGAGGTACATCCAACCTCTGCAGACACACATTGAAAGGTGACACACTGTATAAATATGACTATCACCCAAAGCCAACCACTTCAGTTTGCTGTGAGGTTTTAGACATGCAGGCATCACACAGCGAACTAAGAAATTATTCAGAATGCCAAAGTTGTAGCCCCAGATTTTTTCCCTGATCTTCTGTGAAGCTTTGCTAAAATCATCACTATCTTACTGAGCTTCAGTATCACCAGTAAAACTGTGAAGAAGTTCACCTATGCAGGTATCACAGAAAAACGTAGCCAGTATTTATAAGGTGCTTCGAGTGATCTAGAAATGCAAGTTATTAATACCAGTCCTTACTGCTGGTGACTGAACCACACCGCAATATGGATTGGAAATCAAAAGAAGCTGCAGTGTACTGCTGACAGGAAAGTCTTATCCTGCAGTCTTATCCTGCTACCTCTGCTACCAACCACACTGTGTGATCATCCTGGCTTCCCCTTCAAAAGCTCCCAAGATCTGAAAAAACAAGAAGGATTTTCAGCAGAGAGAATTCTGATGTCAGTAAAATAGCTTACAACAGACTACTGTATTGGAAATAGTTTTTCAACCAGGTGTACTGAGATACAAACACCACACACGAAAAAGAAAAGAGCTGTGGCAGCCAACACAACATATGAAAAAAGCATCAAGCTTGCAGGATTGTTCTCTTTTAATAACTACAAACAGAATTCAAGAACAAAGAGCATTCTAACAGCTGCTTGCTTTGCTTTCCTGGCACTTCTGTATTTCGAGTTTAAAAAGATAAATAAATAAAAGAGTAAACATGACAAACCAAAAGTTATAAGGAGTCGTATTTATAACAGGACTGCCTCGAAGCACAGCTCCTGCTCACCAAATCTCTCAATACTCCCACTATAGTAAATGCATTAAGAGACTGAGTGAAATTTGTACTATATCTTTAGTCTCTCAAGAGGAAGCTGTGAACTACAGCACGTAGCACTAGTTATGGAAATGGCAAATGCATTTTTACTGTCGTACCTTACCTTTTTTCACTTCAGCCACTATTCTCCCTCTCACCTGACATGTGACTTTCAAGTACTGATTTCCTTCAACAACACTTCTAGATCTACTTTTCCTGGGAAATACCAAGTTACACAACTGCAATGAAAACTTTCTACAGTGGAAGATTCTGTAATGGAAGGCTTGCAATCATAGCATTTTCCCAAGGGATATACTCTGAACATATAATTATTATGACTAATAATATATATTATAGTTTCTATATTATTATATATTGCATATCATAATAAATTGTTATATACAGACACACATCCTGAAGTTATTATATGTTCTTTAATTTCAAAAGTGCAATTTTTACTGTGACTTGCCAAACCTTTCGAAAGCAACATCTTTGTAATTTTTCTGTTCAAGAAAGAAAAACCAAAATACTTTAACAATACAGTCAGATGCAATGTATAGCAGCCATTAATAACTTAAGGAAAAAGTGCCCTCCAAGAGGCAGATGAGCACAAGGCATTTTCTGTGCTGGACAGTCAAGAGAAGCAGAAAGAACAAATCGCCCTCAAAGCACATAAGAAAAATATTAGGGGTAATTGAAGGTGTAAAGTAAAAACTCAAACTTTCAATGTCTTCTTTTGGACTTTAAACCAATAGTGTTTTAATGTAGAGGCCTAATTCTTGTGTTTGTGTGTGCACTTTACACATATACACACATTCGTATGTGTGTGTATGCATATGTAAGGAGAGAGGTCTGTTTTATTAGACCAGTAGAGTTGGAAAATACATAAACCCTTTGTCAGTCTAATGTAAGTGATTACCTCTCCTTTGAAACCTTTCATCTCGTATCACCATGATCAAGACCACTTACATACAAACTAAAGTAACATCTCGCTTGGTGACCCTAAAAACTGTACCCCCAGCATTCCACTGCATTACTTAAGCCACTTAAAACAGGCAGCAGAAATGTGAAAGTTGTGTAGCTTCACACCTCATCTTGAATGCTATAAAAATTCTTCTGTGTTCTCCTTAGTCCTAACAGACACAAGCATCAAGCTGAATGTCAACCAGGAGCCCAGGATAACAAAACAAGCTTTGACACTGGAGCGAGAGAGAGGCAGCACTGTCGGGGTCTCGGTGTTGCAGTATAAACTATAACGTCCACAGGGAAATCTAAATGGTGTACTTTTCTGTTTACCTTCAGGTGACAATGTCCAAACGCTTCAACACATCACTGAACGTCTGTTACAAAAACTCCTGTCACTAAGAATAAAAATGGATGGATGCATAATGGTCAGGCTGGACCTTCTGCCTCTTGCCAGGAGTATCGAGCAGAGATTTAAAAACAGCTTGGAAGCAATAAGCAGTCAATCTAGACCTATATAGTCAGGCCTAGAATCATCAACATTACAGATACATCAACTTGCCTCTGAATAGAAATAAGTTAAGCAGTTGCTGGCATTTCTCAAAGGACTCTGGTTCATCGACTAAAATCAGTAAAGGAATGACTTGTTTCACAATTTTTTTCCAATTATATTCACTGAGAGCACTGAATAGGTTATTTTTTTTTCCTTTTTAAAAGCTTGAATTCTGCTTTAATTGAAGAAATATGACAAAGTTTGCCCCTCTCCATAGACAAAAAAGAATGTTTCAAAGCACAATACACTGTAAAATATTTTGAATGTCCACTTCATGTAAACACCCTATCATATATGACATAGATTTTGTTCTAATACAAGTGACTAACAAAAAACCTAATAGCGAGTACATCTTAACAGATAAAGAAGGGGATATCCCTTTTTTGTTTCCATTCATTGCTGCATCTTTCTATGTCTTCCTTCAAGATAGACATTTCAGTATTTTCATCAACTGCAAAGCAAAGATAATTCAAAAAGTTGCCAATAAAGATGAACATGCTGGCTATTCTGGCTAGTCCATTACGGAAGGCAGAGACTTACCCATATTGTGCATACTGGTCTCCACAGTATAAAATGTGTGGCTTCGGGGGATTACTGGGAGCAGGGGGATGCTCAGCATTAGATGCCAGTTTCCTGAAGAGAAGTTACCTCTTAGGATAAGGTACAGCTGCAAAAGCTGTGCAGTCAAGGAATCTTGTTGTCTTTGTCTACTACATGACATACTTCCACATCAACTATCACTTCTGTCCAAAAGGATATATCCAAATCAAATCTCATTGCCCTAAAATAGGCCTCTAATGAGGCACCCTGATAATTTTAAAAAGACAACACCCCTCCTTGCAAAGCATTCTAGTGCTACAAACTGTGGTTTTTATAGAATGGTTTGGGTTTGGGTTTGGTTTTTGTTTTCAGAAAGACTTCCTTGAGAATGATTTAACTCCTTTTTAAAACTCCTTTTTTTAACTCCTTTTTTAAACTTTGTACAACCCTTTCAGGTGGCTTTTGGAGAGAAATGTTGAATCAATCCACATTCTGAAATGCCTTAGAAAGAAGAAAAATCCCAGCAGTAAATCCACTCAATTAAGTGGGGGGTGTATCTAGCCCATAGGCTATTACCACATCTCAGCTTAGTATTTTTAAGCACTCTATATATGGAATAGGCGGTAAGCTCTCCTCATTATTTCTCAAATGAAGCTGAACAGATCTAACCCAAATTACAGCAAGATAAGGCAGACAACTTAAGTGATGAAAACTGTACTTTTTCCTCTGCTTTAGGGATGCTTCTGGCTCATCTGTCCTCTGACCAAGGTGAGCCTGATAAAGCTGAAAATTACACTGTGCGACTGGATTGTACGAGATTATCTTTCCCCTGAGAAGTGATTTATTTTAGTAACTCTTGATGAATAAGAAACTTTCTGCTCCAATACGCTGCTCTTCTTGTGTGAGCATGTTTCCTTATGGCTTTAAGTGAGAGATCACGTAAAAGAAACACAGAATGTGAGTGGCTACATCTTCTTCATGGTTCAAAGACAAATTTGATTATAAGACAGACCTTCAAGGATCACAAGGTTCATAAAATGTGAAAACTATTATCATTAGTTTGTAGGTTTAACGGCAAAAGTTACTGGCATATCTTCTACTTTTTTAGGGTGAGGAAAATCCAGTTTTGGTTTTGAAAGGTCTTGCTTTGTAGAATTTGGGGTTTCTTGATCTTTAGACGATTCCAGGAGATGTTGCATGTTAAGTCTGAAAATGAGGCGAGGATCTGGTCCAGAAAGAGATGGGCAATTGCAGCTCTCTCTTATTTTAAGAGCCTGTGAATACATAGGAAAACAAATCAAGCTCATTTAAATAAGACAAACAGAAAAGGTTTCAGTCAGTGATTTGGCTTTCCAGCAAGATCTGCATTTGCACATAAAGCTTAGTGAGTATAATACTGAGTCTGAATTGTTACTGAACAACTTCTCAACAGAAACCAAGAATTCCTCTGAAGAGATGTAGGAATATGGTAAAACAATGGAAAAAAATGAAAAATGCAGAATGAAAATAGTTTTCTCACAGTCTTTCAAAGAATGGATACTCCAAAACGTGCAACATAAATAGACAGGAAGTTCTCCAACTATTTTCTGTGATACTTGTCCACGTCAGTACTTTTTACCTTTTAATTTACATTTACATGTAAATTAAAATGACTGCATCAAGAAAAAAAAAGTCTGTGAATAATTTACTTCAGTTATGTTCTATTACTGAAGTTGCTTTCTTTAGATGTCTGACTCAAAAAAGGAGGGAAAAACCTCCAGCAACATAATGGACATTTAACTGTTGACCACAACTAGACTGATCAACCGTCTGCATCTCTAAGGTCCTGTAACGCAAGTGCTCTCATCTCCAAGAAACGTGTATACACAGCTTCCAAGTATGCTGAGCAAATAATGTTGCTAGAATATAAAAATTTATCCAGACTAAAAGATCAGCACTAAGAGTCGCACTTTAAATTTCTCCTGCTGAGTAAGTGTCACTGTTTCCATTCTACAGAGCAGAAAGTAGAGGCACGATAGAGCCAAAGAACTTCCTAGAGAATCAAAATCCATCAGCTCAAGCACACTGCCCCCAGATCATCCTGACTTTTGGGCAATCTGAGAAAGGTATGGCAATGAATGAAACTAATGGCTCAGAGACATCGTGGAGAAACTGATATAAATTGTATGGAGCCAGCTGTTTTAAAGGATGCTTAAGTTGGTGCTCATTTTAACAAAGCTGAACGTACCTTTAGTCCATACAAACAGGCAGTTCATTTTAGAGCTAACAATGGATCCCACACAACTAAGTCTGATGCAGGACTTCGCAAGTGGTTGTACACAGCCCTACTACTACCCATGGATTCTCCTACAAGACCTATTTAAACTAATCAGGAAAAGCAAGATCCTCTGTATCATACAGCAAAGTATTATATGTAAAATTTTAGAGGTTTCTACATCTCTGCTGAGAACTATTATTTCAAGATTTGCAAAATGAACCCCCAAGTCAAAAACTAGCCTGATATTTAGCATTAATCAATAGCCACTGTGGTATGGTCACTTTTATGCTATATTATCTGTATCTTGGACTCAGTTAACAGCATAGAACTACAGGCAGATTAACATCCAGCTTTATTTTTAATCATTTCACAGGAAAGTAAGTTCAAATTTATACTTTATTCTACTTCACTTGGTAACTATGGATTATTCAAAAGGAATGGCCAGACCTGTCCTGAGTTGCAGCCAGGTGCCTCCTGACCAGTATAAGAGGCTGTCAGCAGAAAGTGTGGTTGATTCATTTGTTCTAGGTGGAATAAAAAGGAAGAAGAAAGTAACAGTTTTCACAGCAGACTTATCACTGCATTTTTTAAAAAAGAGCAGAAATTTTAATCTGCTTTATATACCGTAGCTTTGGCTGAAATATTGAATCAAATATTCCAGTCCGCTTATGCACAAGTATTTGCCCATCATTCTGAAACAATCTGGTATCCTTCCACAGGAGACACTGGGAACAGCTTACTACAGCAGATCTTAAAGTAGAAGAACAGAGCTTCTGAGCTCACTTCTTCGTATAAGGAGATACCAAGACATATTTCTCCCGAGCTTTTTTACAGTGAACTGATAAAGCGATTGCTGTAGATGGCCAGAAACAAACAGAGCTCAAATGTAACAACTGGTTTTGGAAAAAGATGCATTCCAGGAATGTAGCAAGAGTTTCCCCAGCTGTTTCTTGCTGAAATGTAACATTCAAATTACTGGATACACAAGTCTGGATTAGGCATGCAAATATTCCTCCTGTCTAACTTTTAACATATGAATAAAGCTTTCAGTATTTGTTTTTCTACAACGTGATTGTCCATGCAGTCACCAAATGTAACTGTACCACTGAACGCTCTTCTGCTTCAGTGACCAATTAACTTCTAAACTGACATTTATGACAAACCAAGAGTTTTCTCTTGTTCCAGAACATAAGCTGCTGCAAGACTGCATTAATGTCAAGCAGCATTATTCAAGGCAAATGGAAATATAAAGATTCAGGCTGTATCCTGGAAAGGGCAATGTAATCCTCTTTTAGACTAATTTAGCAATTTTAAATATCTGGTTTTCCTGGCTATATAGTGCCTGGCCTACTTCCATCATTTCACTTATCTAAAATACTAAAGTCACAACAGCAAAGGTAAAAAATAATACTTCAGAGTTAACACTTTTACCCTCTGGATGCCTTTGTGTTCTTGCTAGACATAAAGCTGTCCAAGGAGGTAGAAGGCATCTATTCAATACCATCAACTCACACGCCATTAAAAAGACTACAGTTATGAGAACAGAGAGCTCTGCTGACGTGTCATCTCACTGTTAAAGACAGCAATGACTACACACTCCAGAGAAAGTAGCCTTTGTACACACGTTTGTGACCACCATGCAACACTCAACCCTAGTTAGAAACTGTTCTTCCCCAGACTCTGTTGACTGCTGCTCTTTTGTTTCGTGCCAGCAGCTCTGTCACATCATTAAGATGCCAGTAACAGGCTGAGGAGCTTACAATGTATTTTTTCCTGAATGATAAAACAGCCCAACATGGTCAGCTGCACTGTACTTCCAAAATCAGTAGCAACTTCAAATCCGGTGATTTAATATTGCTATACTGCTAATATTATATTGCTATTATTGGTAATTTAATAATGTATATTGGTATTATAATAAGAACGTGTCTCATTGACTGTTTTTACTGAAGAGTGTTCTCAATAAAGGCAAACAGAACTGAGACAAGGTTAACTAGCTAGAGTGAGGACATAGATTCACCTGGGAACTGACAGTAGTTTAATGCTGTTCTTTTCAGGTCAGTCTTAAGAGGGAAGTACTGCTGTTCAGAATACAGACCACCTGCATGCTTACTGCTTCAGATCAACTACAGTATCAAAACTATTGCTTGTAAGTAGCAAAGGTGAAGCTGTTTTTCTTATCAATACAATTGGAGTCACCGCCTGCAATGTGCTGGGAGGGGGGAAGGCATAGGAATTAGGGAGGACCACCTCAGGCTATTGATTTCATGTAAAGCCTACCAGCAGAGACACATCCAGAAACAAGTAGTTTTTAGCTCTCAGCATTAATCCTTCACTACTGTCACAGATACGAGACTAAATGCTGCGTCTCGACCTCTTGGAGTCTGTTGGAGTGCACCCCACCTCTCATGCTGCCAGCTCTCAGTATAAAAGCCTCATCATTCTCCTGTCCACAAACCAGGCCAAGGGTTAGAGTGTCCTGTGTATTAACTGTGATTATCTCGGCAGGACTGACTTATGCTCTGCCCTTGCAATTCTGACAAAACTAAGAAACAGCACACACATGAAGGGGAAAGGAAAAAAAGAAAAAGAAAAAACAATTAAAAAAAATCAGAAACGCCGAGTTACAAAATTAATTACAATTAGCAGGCATAGGGAGGACAACAGGTTTCAAAAATCACAGAATCGCTCAGTTGGAAAAGACCTCTGAGATCATCACGTCCAACCGCTCCTGTCTACCCACTAAACCATATCCTTAAGTACCTCGTCTACCCGCTCTTTAAACACATCCAGGGATGGTGACTCCACCACCTCCCTGGGCAGCCTGTGCCAGCTTCTGACGACCCTCTCAGTAAAGAACTTCCTCCTTCTCTCTAACCTGAACCTCCCTTGGCACAGCTTGGTGCCGTTTCCCCTTGTTCTATCCCCCATCACCTGGGAGAAGAGACCAGCACCCACCTCTCCACAACCTCCCTTGAGGCAGTTGTAGGTGGTGATGAGGTCTCCCCTCAGCCTTCTCTTCTCCAGGCTACACAAGCCCAGTTCCCTCAGCCGCTCCTCATCAGGCTTGTTCTCCAGAGCCCTCCCCATCCTTGTGGCTCTTCTCTGAACACGCGCCAGAATCTCAAATGAAGTAGTAGTAAAAAGATGAGTAAAAGAATGAGTAGATTTGTTACTTGATGGAGTGCTTGACTGAGGAATAAGCAGCAAGAACCCAAAAAATAATAAAAATAATAAACAGCCAACATGGATTTGAGAAGAATAGCTCTTGCCAAAGTAAATTAAATAACTTTTTTTCTGACAAGGTAATTGACCTAGCAAACAAAAGAGAAGCAGTAAAGGTGACATATCCCAACTTAGCATTACTCTCAAAATGATCTCAATATGACATTTCCACAAGAAAGAGTGGGAAACAGGAGCTACAGTAAATCAAAAATGGAATGTGAGCCAACAACATGATGACAAAAAAGCAAATGTCATGTCAAGATGAATTTTTGTGTCACAGGCAAAGCTCAGTGGACTCTTCTGCTTTATTCTGAGGCTTCAGCCGTTGTACAGTGCTCTATTTGAACAGCATAGTAGGAAAAAAAAGTAGACAAAATGCACCAAGTCAGAGGACATTAAAATAAAAGGTTCAGAAATGAACTCGAAGATCCTACAGCCTCTCTCTGGCACTATGCTTTTGCAATTTTTCTCTCCGGAGCAATGGTAAGCATCCTTCCTGCTACTACAAAATCATTGTAAGATTTCTTTTTCCAAAAATAAAATGCATAGGCCTTCATCAAGCATCTCACCACCTCCCACATAGGAATTCTAAGAGATATCAGTTTCCTATTTAACAGATTATTCTGTTTTCCGTTTTTACAAACCAAATCTTTCCCAGTCTGAGTAGCAAATCCTTTAAAGAGATGGTAAATCTTATACATTTCTTTTATTTCCCTTCCAGGACAGTACCACTTTGTAACTGCTTATAGCTCTCCTATTTACAAACCGGCTGTAGCTTCCAACTTGTTCAGAAAACCAGATGCAAGATGTTTAAAACTCATTTGACTGGCTCCCCGCCTTTTAATTATGTGAAAAGAGAATACCTGTGATATTCCTGCTTTGATTTCTGTTTCCTGGGACTGTTAAGTCACCTCATTGAGTCATGCCATTTCATAACCTGAAGAAAAATTCTCACTTTAGATGATCACATCTTATTGTGAACTTCCTTAGAAGTCGGTAGAGAGACACCTGTGTAGCCTGGAAAGACCAAAAACTTGTCCCTTTTTTTCCTCGCCTACAGTAGCCAGTCTAAGAATAAATGCTGCATTGTCCTGAAAACCATTTCAGCTTCAAAACTATCACTGTATGAAACACAACAATGCTCACCATGGATCTGGTACTGAGTCTTAAGCAGCACAGTTTCTTCACAGAGAGATACTAGAGAGATAAAAAGGCCCTTTTTGAAATCTGGCTTCTCCCTCCGGGCTCTGAATATCTAATGGCCATTGATATACGGTAAACACACTGTTCTAAAAGGCTTTAAGTATTTGAACAATGAAACAAAGAGGCAGTGGTATTGAAAAAGGACAAATCCCTGGAATTGCCTTGAAATGCCTGAGATCCAGCTTCAAGAAGGCAGCTCTCAGATGAAGGGGATGCTTCAGAAAAGCAGCCTCGACAACACCTCTACATACTGACTTCTTTTTTTTTTTTTTTCACTTTTGTAGCATCAACCTCCCTTCTTTAGTGAACTTCTGTTAAAAACAGGAAGCCTTGGTCCCTGCTTTCTCATCCTACTCCAAAGGATGTTTAAGGTAAAAGGCAAACGAAAACACCTCCTCCTCGATTATCTTTTGGAAGAAAATTTCCTAGCCTCCACTGGTCTGGGAAGTGAGAGTGACTATGAAAACATGAAAGTTGCTTCACTTGTGGAACTAAAAGAGATAAGACAGAAATAACACGACTGCCAGCTCCACACAGTTGCTCAGTTATTTAACGTATTTGCTCAGTCCTGAGGTAGAACATAAGTAGTAATTTATATCATTACCACTTTATAAGCCATAACTGTATGAAAATATAGGATCCTGAACCCTTTATGTTCAATGTAACTAAAATTGAAGCTCCACAAGTATCATTGTCCATTCAGCTGCTCTGTGTTAGAAAATCCATCAAAACAGTCTCACAACCTTTTTTGCAAAGCACAGAATTTGTGTATATTCATTTAAAATATTCGGTCTAGCCAGTCTCCAACCTCCTACCCCAATGTTGATTTTTATTTATACCATCATTTAGAGTAGTTACTGCATTCGTTCTCATCAAAGCATTCTTGAAAATCTCTTTTTATCCTTTAAAATCAGCAAACACCTCAACATTTCAGTGCTAGCTCTGCCAATAAATCTTCAACTGTCTTTACAGTTTGGAATTGAGAAAGATTTAAAGTGACTGAGAGGTTTAAATAAAAGCAGAGGAAGAAGAAATTACCAGTTGGTTATAAGAAAGGGATTTTCCAAACGCAGTTTAGCTTGCTGAAAAACAGTGCTGTTGTGATTTGCTTTAGCACTATATTTTAAAAAGAAAGAACTAGGCAAAACCCAATCCATGTCATTTTTTTGCAGTTAAAAAAGCCAGTATTTAAAGAAATAGGAAGCAAACTAAGATGACTAAACTTGGAACTGTTCTCTGTCCTTAAGCTACCAGCGAGTTGCATGTCAAATTAAGAGAATCCCTGAGTAACTCTCCACTTGGCATTCCTCTGAGAGGAAATCTGAAGGAAAGTACAGGGAAAAGACTGCAGATTGATGGGCAATTGCATGAATTAGCTCAAGTTCCTTGGAGTGGGGTAAAATTTGCTTCTTAATGTGACAGAACAGAGATATGAAGAAAAAAGCAGGCTGAAAAAATCTACAGAGAGTTATCCTAACCAGGGCTATTAAGAAATCTTCTACTGGTAGGTCTGATCTTCTTCTGAGGCACAGTTACTTGAGGTGTATTCAATCCCACATCAGTGAGAGAGACAGGACAGGATGGAGCATTCCCTATTTGACAGCCTAGTTACCAGAACAAGAGAAGTCAAGACAGTTTAGGGATCCAACTTAAGAACTGGCTTCCAAAATGGCAAAAAAGAGAAAAGGAAGGATGAGACCTGTGACACTGTCGCATCTATCCAAGGAAGATCATTCAAAGCAAAAATGCTCCACTTCGATCAGAAATCAGAAAAGAAAAACAACCCTAGAATATAGTTACACTTTACCTGTGCTATCTTAATTTTTCCCTATTTAATAAAATCTTTAAGGTAGACAGCTTTGTAACAGAAAATTTCTGTAAGGATAAAGGCAAAGATAAGCACAATGCTAAAAGAGCAGATTGTGAACCAATACCAAAGTAGCTCTTGAATCAATACCAAACTAATTCTGGCAACCTTCCCAAGAGAAAAAGCCACACTTCCTTCAACCCTGCTCACCTCTGGGATCAGTCGGTCTAAGTGCTCAGCTCTGTTTTCATGAGATGGGTGTGTGGAGAGCCACTCTGGAAACTTGGGCTGCCCTTGAATGGCTTCTGCTAACTCCATCTGTTGCCAAAATACACTGCTTGCTCTTACATCCACACAAGCCTGAAAACAGAAAAGAAATGTATACACCACTATATTCTTAAAGTAACATAATACACAATCTAATGGATGTTAAATTACAAAAGACATCTTTAATTTTAAATCTCTAAAGCTTGTTTAGACAGTCTCCCTCGTAGCTGTCAGGAAAAGGCTGTTCTAAAATATCTAAATGCAGTAAAAAAACCTCATCCAGACAGAAACTGGATTTGTTCCTTTTAACATCTGTGCAAGTCCACAGATCTTAAAAAACTTACACCTGAGTTAGATAATTCAGGAGAAAAACAGATTCACAATTTCTGGCATGTACTCTTCTTTAACAAAAAAAGACCTCAGCTGCTGCACTGAGTTGTATTTGATAGACACAGCACAGCAGAAGAACAAATTGATCACATCCACAGATTTAGGCAAACTTACAAGAAGTAGTCTAGAGTCAAAAATATAAAGCGGTATCTCTAAATATAAATTGCAAAGGCTTTTCTGTAAGTGATTACACTGCTGTTTTCAAGGATGATCTGTGTCATCAACAGCAGATTAAAATAGTAATTCTGCAGAATTCCTCTCTCTCTCCATAGAAGTCTGTATTTAACCATAGAAAGCCATGGAACACCAGCTTTAAGAATGGCATTTGTAAATCACCAGCAGACTCCTTTATGTTTGCATTGAAGTGGTGGGGGAAAAAAGAATGAGATTTCTTACATTAATTTTCATTTGTTTAAGAGAAAAAGAGACGAGTACTCAGACGGTAAGAAAATGATGGGTTTTTTTTTCTTCCAGAAATACAGAAGCGGTGTTTTATCCCATGAATCTATTGCTTAAAACTATTATTATAAAAAGATCATCTGCACAAGCAGAGAAATGCCGAGCTACCACTTTGCTTGTTTCTTTCTGGGATGACCCTGTATTTTTGCTACTAGCAAGCAGTGAGCACCCAGACAGCGATCACAATTTTTTCAGGGATTCTATTATTCCTTGGATGACTTTAAACTACAAAGGCCGTTTCAATCTCAGAATCAAAGTTAATTTCAAAAACAATTCCTTGAAAAAATATTAATAATTATTAAGGAAATATTCCTTATGAAATATTAACACTAGATGGTGCTGCTCTCATAGTTATCTAACACTTACCTAACTCCCCCTTAGCTACACATGAGAGTTGTTTTAGTTTTTTAAATTTAGAATTAAAATCCACAGGGACAAAAAAAAAAGTGACTGAAAAAACAAATTATAAATAAAATGCTGAGTAGTTTCTGACTAAATGTTTGTCTTACTTTAGCAAAGCCACATTATTTTTATGGCTGTATTTAGGTTAATTTTTTTTAATACTAGAACAATATTGATATACTTTGTAATTATCAGCAACCACAGAAAATATTATCACAATGTCAAAAAGTTCTTATTACTATAAGACTAGATATTATAGAGCAGAATATTCTAGGTGCACTACAATACAGTAAAGCATTTCACAGAACCTCTCACAATAGATGGAAAAATAAGTGAAAAAAATCTAAAGCCAATTTGTATCTTTACATACATACATTTAAACATATCCTACTTATAGAAGCCCATGATTTGGCATTCTCCTCCTTATAAATACGCAGCTTTTTCCTCTAACTGCAATATACATAGAAAGTATTCTATGCAGTTAATAACGTACAACTTGACAAACTTCCACTTCATTGCATACAATTTAGCCAGAATGATTTTAAAAAAATTTTATTCCTCCCTACTTCTCTACTCCACATATCTTCAAAGATTTGGGAACCCTCCCCCACAGAGTTTACCTCTGTATGAAGTGTGAAACTCCCGCTGATCGTAAGAGAAACTGAAAAATGTCTGGTAAATTGGTAATAAAACAAACCAGCTGTAGTTACCTTTGCTGCAAACTGAAGTGCCACTTTATCAGCTTCAGCCTCCAATGTTCTGCTGTACGGTCTATTAAACATAAACTGCAAAGAAACACATCAAAGCTTTACTTCTTAGTTTTGAATGCCTACAAAGCTAGAGCACTGCAGCGATTTATCTGACCTTCTCATAAGAAACCGTATTTATCTATCATGTTCACATTGCATGCAATCAGTATTAATTCTCTCAATGTCTTTTTAAATTCCATTATATGTAATTCACTGATCTTGTATTCAATGGAAATTAATTCAAATTATACGTGTTTTCATGGCCTCTCTCATCAGCCAGTCTCACAGCATTTGGCAGCAACTAAAGGGGCAATGTCAACTTTAAACCAGAATTTTTTCACTTCACTCTTTATTGGCAAGAAGATTTTTGTTGCAGCAACTGTATGTAAAAAAAAAATCCAGTGGTTTACTTAAAATTTTATCATGGAAGTCTTTAAACCTGGTATGATCTATTCTGTATGGTAAACAGCCCACGGTATGTGGGTATGTTTAGGGCTACAAAGATGATCAAGGGAGTGGAGCATCTCCCTTATGAGGAGCGGCTGAGGGAGCTGGGTCTCTTTAGTTTGCAGAAGAGGAGACTGAGGGGAGACCTCATTCATGGTTATAAATATTTAAAGGGTGAGTGTCACGAGGATGGAGCCAGGCTCTTCTTGGTGACAAACAATGATAAGACAAGGGGTAACGGACACAAACTGGAACACAGGAGGTTCCACTTCAATTGGAGAAGAAACTTCTTCTCAGTGAGGGTGACAGAGCCCTGGCCCAGGCTGCCCAGAGAGGTTGTGGAGTCTCCTTCTCTGCAGACATTCAAAACCCGCCTGGACGCCTTCCTGTGTAACCTCATCTGGGTGTTCCTGCTCCGGCAGGGGGATTGGACTGGAAGAGCTTTTGAGGTCCCTTCCAATCCCTAACGGTCTGGGATTCTGTGATTCTGTATGGAATGTGGCTATAAACATTTCCATGCAGAAGTCACTCCTTTGCCATGATTATCCCCCAACACAATTTGCAAACCGCCCTTGAGAAACCGAACTAGAAGACATAAATCTAACAAACTCCTCTCCCATTTTTCTAGGGTATGCTATTATATTAACACAGACTAAGAGACAGTAGTCATTTTCTCAAATGGTTATTTAGTCATAAATAGGATCTTCTGGCACATGTAAATCATGTAGATTTGGGCAGCCTTACCCTAGTGTATCAGGTTATAGTAAATGCAAACCAGGACTTGTTACAACAGCCTCTCCAGCAGAGATAAGAAACAAGTCAGAATGTTCTGGTTTAGGCATCAATTAGAAAATATCAACTGAAGAATGAGGATGTGCAAGGTTAGTGAAGAGAAAAAGGTTTTATCAGCTCTTTATCTGGTTATAAAAATATGTCCTCCTTTTAAGTTCCAGGAAAAACAAAAGCAAACCAGTTCGAAATGAAGAGCACCAAGTACATGATCCAATCCCTTGAGTACATAAAGGTATCTGTAACTTTTTGCTTCTTTCTGAAGTAGCACTGACAGTTTTTCTTTACTAGGTCAAAAATAAAAGGCAACCAAAGCTGATCTTCTACAGGATTTTAAAGCCAAACACACTGGTTCCTAAGTAAGCATATATAAGGTCACTTTCTAAATTCTTACTTTCCTTACAGACCCTAAACACTACAATTACAAAAATATTTTTACAATGGTCTGATAATAAAGTCATTACTTGGAGTGCAATATATATTTCTACTACCTTGAAAAGTGCTCTGGGTCTACTGGAGTGCATACATTCACTAAACAGCAGAGATACCCCTGGCTAGTCTGCCACATATTCCTTAAGCACCATTTCCCAGTTAGCCAGGTAATTGAATTATTAAACATTGCTCAGACAGGGAAATGAAACTGTTAACAGGCAACAGGACTGGACTACCCAAAGCACTAACTACAGCAGAGGTTTACACAAGCAGGCAGTTTGCTATTTCTTCAGTTACAACCACTTGCGTTTTCTTCTCTGGGAGGTTTACAACAATTTTAAATAAGAACGGATACCATCCATCTCAAGAAGAGATTTGCAGAAGTTTAATAACTAGGAATTAGTTATTAAACCAGACAACTCACTATTAGACAACTTGCTGTTTGAATGTATGTGTCTTAATAAACCCTCCAGAGAGAGAGATCTGAGGCTGCAAGAGAATGGTGATAACAAGATCAGCATTTAAACTCTTACCCCTTAAATAGTTATATCTGCATTTACAGCTAAGCACTAGAGTATTACTATTTATCTGTATGTCTGTCTCAATACTGCCCACGAAAACGTGGCTGTGTTTTTAAAAATAAACACAACACTAATGTAATCTCTAGTTCAGGACCTACCCAGGCTGCAGACTGCAGAAGCAGGGATAGCATCTGAAGAAACGATCACGCTATAATTGCTGTTACTTCCTTTACTTTTCCTGTATGAACCTGCTACTGATACAAGATAGGGGCCTCAAGACACTGATGTGTTTCCATATAGCAACTTCTATGCTAGCTATTGCTTATGACCAAGTAGGGTTCCAGATTTGTTATGTTCTGATCATTATAAAAATTTCATTACCATGTAAGAGACGTAAACATGTTCTCTGCAATTTTTGAGAATTCTATGTGTTTCTTCTTCAGATCCAAAAATAAAACTATAAGATAACCTGAATCTCTTGAGAAAGATTGGGCTCTGTTTCACAGTGTGCTTCAAGCCAATCAAGTCTCAGCAGTGGTCACATAAAATGGTCTTGAGGCATCTAACATACAATACTATTCATCTGCTACTGAAAAACAAGTTAAAAAACCCCCAAATTGTTGTGAATGTGCTGGAATGAAAAATTATACCTGCAAACTCTGATCTAAAATCCTTGTCAGAAACTGGACGTAACAAAGGCGGATCTGATTTTTTCAAATCAATTCCCAGAGCTGCCTGTGTATGTTAAAGAAAAGGAAGTTCCAGGTAGGTTGACTATCCAAAATCACCGGTTTCCTCATGAAATGCAAATCTGATTGTGTGAGGCGGATAAGAAAGGGAATAGAAAGTACTGTATTTGTACATACTAGTGTGCCAGACATGAGTAAAATTCAAAGTCATGCTTTGTGCTATTCCAAGAATAATCCATAGGGTTTAGTTCCCATATAAAATAACTGCTGCTGTAAAAACAAAGCCAATGTGTTTCAGTTCAGAAATACACGACTAAAGAACAGCCATGAATTAATCACAGAAGAGAACTTAACAATTTCTTAGGCAAGAAAACCCACAAGTTCTGGAGGAAAAAAGCAGAACTGGAGCTAACATGTCAAAAGGCCCCCAAACAGTCACTGGAAACTACTTACAGTCAGTAATAAAAAATAAACAAGAATCAGTCGTTAAAATGTTAAGGCTTGAGGATACAGAAGGAAAAAATACTGAATCAGAAACAAGTACTGTGATGTGGCTTAAGCAACCCGTTCATAGAGTGGGATGCTAAAACTTTTAAAAGTAAAATGCAGTTACAGAAGAAATGAAACATCTCAAGAAAATATGCAGAAAGATTCATCTTCACATAAGCACAATAGGTGAACACTGAATGGAGGAAAGAAACAATGCACTCCTGGGTGCCTAACAGAAACAAACATTTCTCTTCAGCATCTCTTGTATATGGGATGAAAGTTTTGCAAGTATTAATCATTTATTTATTCTGCATATGGATGTGTTTAACGTTACTGAAGATGAGTTTGGTCAGAGTTTTAAACCAGGACATTACAGCACAGTATCTCACATATCTTTGCTATAGCACACTAGGACTGTGAGCTTAAACCCACATTCCATTTGCAATCTAAAGCACAACTTCAATCCATGATGCCAAAGTATCAGTTGCAGTTAGCCTGGAAGAGGAGAAAAGATGCTGACAGGGAGTTAAATCTTGCTGTCTAAATTATGAGCAGTCTCTGGATTGATTCACACTTTGTTTTTTCCAAATTCAGCTCTTCAAAATGCTGGCTAGCATTCATCTATGTATTGGTTTCTTAGCTACTTGTACAAATATCCAAGCTTTTTAGAGATAATTTATGTTCAGAATCCACACATCTACCCATTAGCATAAGAACTACCAAGCCAGATTGTTTATGTTTCATTTCATGTTTTTGAGGAACCAGGGGAAATCTTGGGAAAAGCATCAAGAGAAGTCAAAGAAACCAAAGAGCTCTTTCACTTAAATTCAGATTCAAGTTTTATGATGTAAGCAAAGTTTCTTTTAAAAAACCTACTTTTTAAACAAGAAGTGGATCAGTAGCTGTCCGGAGGCAGAAAATAAAGACTGCTGAAGAAAACTGGCACCACAAAGCCTCTGAATTTTATTTTAGTGGAATATATGCTGTCTAAAAATATTATTTCAGCAAGTTTTATTACAGCATGGCTTATACTTTAAAAGAGAGTTTATATTCTCAATTTTCTTATCTTGGAAAGCATTCTTACCGCTAACAATGTATTTAAAGAATTCCACATATTTTTATTTGGTTTAGAAACAACCTAACAACTGAAAATAAAAACACGGCATTTCAACACATACAACTTTAAAGGGTGAGCTACGTTTCAAAAAGACAATAATCTAACTTAATTGGCAAGCAGGTACATGGAGCCTGTCCAGCTAAATCCAGCAATCTAGGAAGATCTAAACTAATTCAGGATGACAAACTAAAATATGTATCAACTAAAGCAGATGCGGATTTATAAAAACGTACTTCATTCAAAAACATATTCAAATATTAACTTTTGTTTATAATATTTCTCCTCTTGCCTTTTTCCCCTAGCATACTATTTCGTGGTACTATTACCCCAAGATTAAAAATGTTTACCCGTGGAACTCAGGAAGGAAAATAGAAAATGTCAGTCTTACCTCCTGCAGCTTGCTCTGAATCCACTGGCCAACAACTGCCAAACTATCGCGAGGACAGATGGCCCAAATCATAGTGAGAAAGATGAGTGATAGAAAATCCAAGAAGTGAACCAGGCTGGCTTTCTCTGCCTGCAAACAGAAATTCTCCCATTGTCATTCCTTACTGCCTTATGTTTCTTTAGAACATAACAGAATTTGGAAACATTTTTTAACTTTTTTTTTTTCCAATGCAACCACAGAAACAGGGCAAGTGCAGGCTCCTCTGCTTGCACAAAAAAACCCAGTTGGATATCAGGTACTTCCAGTCTAGAATCCAGACCAATTGAATGAATATAGCTGGAACAAATACATTTTGGCTATCTACCAATCCGAGAGATTCAAAACTTGAGATAAGGCAATGGCAGCATGCAGACTTCTTCAGTAAAAAGGCCATGAAACACCTTAGTTGGAACAAAACCACCTGTGAACACATCTAGAAGCCTGTTCTTTACATTAATTTGAGAAGAGAAAGACATCGTTTAGACAGGAACTCTAACAGGATAAGGGAACACTAGACATAATAAACTTATTTTTTATTTTCTGTTGCATTCCTTTGATTTCAGAAACCAACAGACCCTGAAGAAATTTAAACTCTTGTTTTTTTCAGAGCTCTTTTTGATGTGCAACAAATTGCTCTGAGCACTTACAAGCTGGATCACACAATACTTCTCTCTATGCCAGCCAGGTGACACAGGTTCCATACAAACAAGGTAAGTTCTTTTTATTATTAGAAATACTTTTTCAGAAGTTTAACAAGTTAATTGGCTCACGTGAGCCCAAGAAACTATGATGCAAACTGCTGCT